TTGTTTGTGTGAAACCTTCATAAGATTGTATATCAGTGATACCTTAATAAAATGAAATGAAATAAAATAAAGCTCTGGAGAATGTGGCTCTTAACTGGGTTCCAGCAGGTTAAGGGTGAAGGTATGCACAGCGGAAAGCCAAGGAGGGTGGCGGGAGAGGATCATGGGGCGAGAGCTCCAGGCTGGGGCAGCCACAGGACAGAGGCTGGCGCACTACAGGACTCTGGCTGTTGGTTCAGGAGAGGGGCAGTGAGGAAGCAGCTGGAGACCAAGCCTGGGCAGAGCCCCAGAGGCTGCCGTTTTAGGCTTAGACTGTGTGCCCAAGAATGGAGCTTCCCTAGAAAGACCACACAACCTGTGTACTCACCCTCCTCAGGTGGCACTCTTGCTTGGGGCAGCCCCTTCATTCTCAAAGGCAGCATCCCCCTCCCTCTCGTGCCCTGCCCTGCCCAGCACTTACTCCCTGGGTTGAAATCAGCACCTGGCGTTGTAGGTCTCTATGTACAGGGCTGTCCTCCACTGAAACACTTCCTCCTATTCATCTCGGTCCCAGAAATAGGCAGCCTGACCCATGGGATGCTAACACCTGCCCTGCTTATGTCAGGACGATGCTGTGAGTGAACACAGGTAGAGATGTGGACATAGTGTGAAAGAGTTAGAATCACTGCTCCTTTTGGAAGGTGTGAGCCCATGAGAGCCTTAGAGAAGATTCTGGGGTAGTGAGTGTGACCGCTCAGGGACTTGAGTGGTCATTTGGAGTCGTCACAGATCTCCCTGCCAGGCCACTTCTTGGCCTAGTGTCCACCAAATGCCAGCATCTCAGGCACCACCTTGATGATTTTGACCATATTCACATACCGCCTGGGCTCTTATGCATTTAATATTTTTCTTTAACTTGGTGACTTTCTCCCCTAACTTTTTTTTTTCATTTTTTCATTTTTTAAATTTTTTTGAAGAACATTATGTTTACTAGGCTCTCCCCTACCCCAAGTCCCCCGCACAAACCCCATTATAGTCACTGTCCATCAGCATAGTAAGATGTAGAATCACTACTTGTCTTCTCTGTGTTGCAAAGCCCTCCCCTTTCCCCCACCGCCCACATTATACATGCTAATCATAATACCCCCTTTCTTCTTCCCCACCCTTATCCCTCCCTACCCTCCCATTCTCCCCAGTCCCTTTCCCTTTGGTAACTGTTAGTCCATTCTTGGGTTCTGTGATTCTGCTGCT